GGGAAATTAGAGTGTATCAGTTTTTCCTCGAGCGGTATAAAGCCAACACTTGTGAATCATTAATTCGGAGCGTGCTCGAAGAATGTATTCAATTGTGTGGCTCCTCAATTGAACATCGCGTTTTGTTCAATCTGTTCATTCAAATGTGAAATCAGGCAATGTTTCAGGGGCCTACGCATCGATTTGGCTGCCGTCTATGGTGCCTCAAGGTATGTTCTGATGCTCAGAATTAGCCTCGTAGAAATTCGTATTTTGTGCCCAAGTGACGCCCCTAACATATTGATGAAGCTTGTCGAAGTTTGAGCGAAAAATAAATTCTGCCTGGGGCTCGAATGGCTTCGTCAGCGCACTCCAACTGTCAAAAAATCATATATAGGTTGATCAATACTTGCTAATCCTTCAATTTGTGCCACGCATCGTGGTATCAGTGAGAATTGTGGAGACACTGAAATGAGTATAATACACATCGAATTATGAAAACGATCGGTTTGAATACTTAACTCAGAGCTATTATATTCACGAGTAGGATTGAATGGAACACATGGTATAATCAATCAGACATGCAGTGCGTTTCATAACCATAATAATAATGTCACCCTCAAAGACTCGGAGAATCGTTCTTTTTTCCGGCAACAAATTGGTAGTCGCAAAGAAGTTTTGTTCGAAAGTTTTCATTAACCCTATCCGTAACAGGATGCGGCGCATCTCGAGCTCGTGAAGAAACTTTTTGCATTTTATCAGTTGAATCTATTCGGGTTGCTCCAATAAAAACCAGCATAAAAAATTCGGTAACCTCTTCAAATAACGATTGCTTCCTAAGATTTTCTGGAAGGAGTGACAGCAGATCCTGAGACTGAAAGCGATTGACTCACGCTGGCTCGTTTGCTGCCATTCTCGAGGTGAATTGCTCCAATCCTCTGAGTGTGCTAAGTTTCTGATTCCCACTTTTCGCGATTCCAGAGACGTATGCTTAAAGCAAAATCCAAGAACGAGTTCGCGGGCAAAATCCACCATTAATGAAGTTTTAGGCGAAAAGTTGATCAATAGTGAAAGAAAAATCAAAGAAACGTCGGACACGGTCTTAGATAGGGACTCTCCCTATGCAGCTTAGCGATAGGGGAAGACGCGTGTTGGACGAGTTGTCTGAACCTGCCCGCAGTAAATGCGCTCCAATTGCAATTGCTGGCAAAATTGCTTGCCAGCAATGGCTGGCCACACTGTAATCATGCATTGGTACAAAAAAATTATTTTAAAAAAACTAGAAGGGAAGCTGCTTTTGCCACAAATTGCGAGACAGGTGTTCTTCAAGAGGACAAAAGATGGTGAAACTAGAGAAATTTTCTGTTGGCTGCTAGTTTCAGAAAGTAAAATTTGAGGAGACATTATAATTATGAAAAGCACTGTATAGGCGACTACGATAGGAAGTCTTTTGCTGGTTTTAGCGACCGAACGATCCAAGTTGATTCATTCTCAGGGCAAATTCTCTCGCACCCTGGACAATTGTATCATACTTTCCAGGTTGAACGATGCCGTCGTTATAGCTAGGCTAGAACAGTGGCGCTATGAGACCAAAATACATTTACTGGAAATTATCGGTGCAATGTCTGTTGCCTACGAATACAGTGCGTACCAAATGTATGTGGACACCCTGAGATCGTTTCTCAGGGGTCAGCTAAAAAATTTTGTGTTATGAAACCTTCGACATTCAACTTCTAGGGGTCGATAACCTACAGTGATATTTTTGGCAAAAGATTTCGTTCAAGTTTAACGAATTATCATTGGTGGAATTTTATTCTTTGTACCAAAAATGTGTGGATACCCTGAGGTAGATGAAGTTTCTGAGCCAATTCCCTAACCTACTTCGACTTTTCCTTTCGACTTATTCTGCCTTCACTCCTCTTCACGGCAAGCATTTTCTTGGGAAGACCAGGCACAAATATGGAGTCATGTTGGTGAACCTTCCAATTGCGAAATCGCACGTCAACCTGGTCGTGCGTCTTCGTACGTTGGAAAGTGATCCAGAATCCTGATGCTAAGCTCTCGATAATAAGTAAGGGTGTCCACGATTGTTACATATTCAAAATAACACAAGCATAGCTCGTGATGTGTCCAAATTCCTTTTATCTGCTATTCAAGCTCGCATTCAAATGAGGTTCCCGGTCTTTTAGTGACCACTTAGCGATCCATCCGATCGGATGAGCACATGGTACCCTACTGAATGAATAAGCTTCCTGTATGGAGGCCTAGCACAAGTAGGTAAGGCTGGAATTCCTATACAAAACCTGAACCAACATGGGACGTCGAATCAGTACCAAAATACTTTCTTGGAGAAGGTAAGACTAGAATCAAATCTTTCTGTGGGAATTTCCTCCTTAGACCACCTCGAGTGGTGGAAAGGAGCTCATTTTTGGCTACTACGGTGGGCCTCGTTGTCTTTGCATAGACCTTGGTCGTGACCCACAGATGTTCTCGACGGGACAATTTGGAGAAGGTTCAACAATAGTCTGAGGTGGTTCCAAAAGTAGAAGATTAGAGTTTGACTTGCCAACACGCAAGGTAGACAACTAGGAATTTATGGGGTGCTTGAGTCCCGGCTACAACCTTTTTCGCGAAGACACCGTCGCGAAACACTTGTTTTGCAACAAGCCCTAGGAGAGGTCCCTGACCGTATTGCATTTGGGAAAAAAACCATTTTGCTTGGTAGGTCGGCGACTGTGTTCTTCACACCTCATCCTTTTCAAAAACATCGTAGTTCGCGTGTCTACGTCATTGAGCGAAAGGGTAACCTGTCGCGGTGATGAAATTGGCTGGTTGGGAACAGATCGACAAGGTATGTATCGAGAGCCTGGTTCAGTGCATGCCGAACTAAAAGTCTCGACTTATCAGAAGCTTTGGTAGGCCTACCGATTTTAGGTTCTGAAGATATTACTGTTTTCTGGGTCCACATACTTTTGATACAGCGGTACAGCGATACAAGGTTTTTCCTTCAATTGAAAAAATAGATGCTGCATGTAACTTGGTGAGGAACGAGAGTTCGAAGTTTTTCGCATACAAGAATTTAATGGTGGCGGTCGCATGGTGCAGAAGTCAACAGTTTTAGAGAGAATGAAAACTTTTAGGGTGTCCGCACACTTTTGGTATGCACTGAATAGATTAGGTTTGTTGCAGTATGAATGTCACACACATTTATTCTGACGCCACTCGCCTGCGTTCGAATCACTAGGGCAACATTTAGAAAGAAATTCATTCATCATTCATTTAAGGCATTTGAGAGAATAGAAATGAATTTCCTTTGGCTAGAACATTTCGTAGCTTCACACAAATTTTTCTTTCGGATCGTGATCAACCGAAATTACCGAGTGCACACACAGATACTCTTCAACTTCGCACAAGGAAAGTTGACGCTGCATACTGAACAACTCTGGCACACATTTAAAGACATTCCGTCTGGGTGTTATCACTGCAAGTGGCTCTAGCGTTTTTGGGAGATTGAACTATGGAATAAGTAGAGCATTAGTAGCAACTGTAGCTGCTGTCAACGATGCGCTCGAAGCCATCGGGACGGTTTCTTCCTAGACAGAGGAACACTTGGAGAGCTTCACAACAATCACCACGGTAGCCAGCCTTGTGCGTTAAGGCAGGAAGATTCAAAGCCTGGTGATCGATTTGGTGGTGTAGTGGTAGTGGTCGATAGTGAAACTGTGGACGTCGAGTTAAGTGCAAATGAGAAAAGAACAAACGAACCGCCGATGAGCCTTTTAACATTAAGTCCCGCTTCCCCTCAAAATAGGGAAGGGGTGTGGCCGGACGAGCTGTCCGAACTATAGGGTGGGGCATAAATATGGCGACAAAGTAGTTGTGACCCAGTTCGAACCAGAATGAAATACCAATACCATGAAAAGGAATACCAAGTACGGCAATGTATGACCATATCCTTTCAAACAATTGCTGATCCATGTATTAGGCAATTTCGTGCATACGTGCCCTACAACTGACCCTTGCTCGCATGACATCCTACAAACTTCATATCATATGTTCTAAAGAGCTGATCTTATCTATCCTATCGAACGGTTTTGTTCCGTGCACTTTTTCAACTTCCATAACGACCACAGTGTGTAGATCGCTACAATAAAATCGGAGAGTTTAGCCGGCCTATCTTTGTGCAACCTAATGTTGGAGAAATGGGCTCTGCAGCAGACTTCACAAAATATCCATAAGCCGGCATTGTTGTTCGGAAGTTCTATACGGAATTGGACCATCGTCTCCTCCTCGCGAATGTCCAATTTTCGATGAGTGCTGACAACCTCGAAGTTCAGGAAGCGAAGCCTCAAGACAGTCACCTTCTGCGCGCGCTTCACTTCTCTTGTGAACACATGGGAGGATTCCGTTATCGAAAACATCATCGGCTTGTTGACACCTTCACGAGAGCGGTACAAAAAAGTAAAAAAAACAAAAAGTTGATTCACAACTTACAAAAAAATAAAGTAAGAAACAACTTACAAACAAAAAAGTACACGAACACTCTTCAACAGGGTCTTCAATTAGATCAATTGTGTAAGTCTAAATAGGTGTTTCCTCAGTCAAAACTTCTGCCGGAGGAGCCACCTTGTTAGTGCTTTTATCACGTAAGCTAACTTACCTAGTCACCGCTCTTTAAAGTTGTTTATGCGTTCGAGCTTCCAATAACGGGCCTTGTTAGAGATTAGTTTAGAGGAGTGTATACCGCAACAAACGCGGTCGCAAAATCGCCACATGGCCAAAAATACCAAAACTCGCATTCAGTGTGTTAACTATTTGAAAAGAGTCAGGAGCACAGCTTTTATGAGCGTGTTCGCCTAGTTAATGTATCATTTATCAATCAATTAATTGCTACATTCAAATGAGTTCGAAGTATGTCAGCACACCTTTACCAAGCCCCCCATTTTGATTGAGAAAAGAAGTCAGAATATCAAGGTTCATAAAGAGACGCAATTGAAAAACCCTGAATTGTGCTCTCCTAAATGAATGTATGTGCCATGGGAAGTTTCAATATACTCACCCTGATGACACGACAAGTGGATTGGAAAAGGCTAATTTTAGACATGTGAATTACATCAGCAGAAATCGCTAAAGAGCAAATTGCAGAGCGATTCCGTGGCGCTTGGATACTGGCTGGACTCTATGCCGCTATTATGATCGAATCAGCCACTGTTGGATTACTTTTTCACGCAACTCTTGCCGAAATGATCGACCACAGCCTCATGACTGTTGAACAAAGGTTAGACCAAGTCAGAATTACTGTTCTCCAAAAACTATGCTCCCTAACATTTTTTGAGCGACCATCCAATCATCTCTCAAAGAAAAAATTAACAAAAAAAAGGATGAAAATGAAGGCAAAAGTGGAACTTACGCTGTTGATTCTCCCTTTTGAACTTTGACGTCGGCACCTCATCATTTCTCTCTGACAAGTCTGAATAATTGATAGCTTCGACGTCACCTTTTTCCTGCAACAATTCACCAGGACCTTTCCCTGAATTTTTTTTCAAGATGGCCTCCGCATTATAGAGGCTACCGTTTATTTCGATGGAATTGTTGCGGGAATTGAAACACTTCGTCATGAGAAATGTGCTCAGCAAAGGTTTGGCAGTCAGCAGTGTCAGCGATGGTCTGAAACAAACACGCAATGTCTGATGCCGTTGTTTAACAGTGCTTCTTTCTAATTTTTATACCTTTTGCTCCTGAGAGAAGTTGTTGATTAGTGAAATTCCCTGCTAATCAGACGATCTTTCATATTGTAATATCAGGTAACATCAGTCATTTAATTAATTAAGTGCAGAAATGCTCTTTTCCGCACACTAGAGATGGGTGACTCAACTCCACCTGAATCTTTACCCTGTTTGTTCAAGCAAGTTTATATCATAACCAATGCACTGATACTGATACCGATTTGTCAGATAGCATCCTGTTACTGGGCTTCTATTGAGCCTAGGATAAAGTTCCCTCTAGCCCCCTTGCTCCTGCTCAATCCATCGCCAGCATTGCTCTCAACCGCCTTCATTGGCCAGGGATCGCCTTCATGTTGGACCCAGATATCTCTTTTTACCCTTGTCCTTGCATCCATTCTTGACATCTCAGATCCTGAGTGTGTAGCTGTTGATGCAGGGATTCTTCCTAACGAGGGAAGACGCGTAAGGGTTTTTTTTATTTCTTTCAAAGAAGTGTCAATTTGAATGGGATTCATAGTAACACCTCGCATGATACTAATACCGATTTGTCAGATAGCATCCTGTTACTGGGCTTCTATTGGAGCCTTACGGATAAGGTCCCTCTAGTTGCTCCTGCTCAATCCATGCCAAGCATTGTTCTCACGCCTTCAGTTGGCCAGGGATCGCCTTCATGTGGACCCAGATATCTCTTTTTACCCTTTGTCTTTGCATCCATTCCTAGACATCTCAGGATCCTGAGTGTGTAGCTGTTGATGCAGGATTCTTGCCTAACGAGGGAAGACGGTAGGTCTAAGTGGCAATTTGAAATGGGATGCATATGTAACATCTGGGAGATCTTTGAACACCATTCCATATCTGCTGAAAGTTTCTAAGAACGAAGCTACAGAGCTTGCAAAGTTTGAATGTGGGCCGGTAGCGTGGTGGATACTATGCCAGTCCTATGTCGGCAAGGCCAAGATAAGGCCGGGTATGGATCCTTGATGTACACGGTTTTTTGAACCCTTCTAGAAGTATGTTCAACACGTTTGCAAACAACTTGCAACATGCAACGTGGCACGTTCATTGAGTGCTCGCAAAAAATTGGACCATTTCAGATAATTCAGTTGTGAATTCTTTCGATCGCTCCTCTCTTCTATACAGTAAACAAGTTGAACCCCTAAGTTTTCCGAAAATCTTCAAACTGAGATAGAATGGTATTGAGGAAGAGTTAGCATGAAAACCTCGCTCTCTAGAGAAACCACTGCATGGGTGGGTGGCCCTAAAACGACTCAAAAACTAGCTTCATAACGCACGCAGTAGGTGTTTTTGCGTCGAACTAGTGCGATATGTGCAAGTTCTGGCGAGATCTGGGAACACATTAGTAGGAGAATTGGGATTATACCTTTATTTCGAAAAGGTGTCGTGATGCGGTAGTCTTGGGCAGCGGTTAATGTCAGGAAGAAGAATGTTGAGTAGACTGCGCACTCCTCAACCCCAGTGACCCCTTGTCAAGCCGATCGACAACAACGGCTTTTATGTAGCAAACTTTGTGAGATGATCACACGTGCCCTTCGAACCACCTCTTCCAACTCGTGAGAATTCCATCTTCCTAGTGTGTAAAATTTTTCCATGGCTTAGAGGGAACACATGGTGCACTGCGAGGATTGAAGGCCCACTGCAGTTTGACGGGAACTGGTACCTGGTTGCCTACAAAATTTCTTGCATGCGCTCAATATCTACGGCCATTGGGTGTCCAAAGCGTGGCCGATCTTCAGGGTTATAGTCGCCCGGGCGAACAACCAATTGCAATAGATATTCTCATTTAGCGAGTCCGGCTCTCCAGGTACACAAATATCCCAACAGGTTCCACTTGCTGAGTGCCCCAGGCGGAACTCGTAAAAAAGACAGTAACAAAAAGTGTTGAGGGGGACATTATTTTCTTCAAAAGACGAGTACTAACGGTCAAATTTCGTAATATGGAAGGAGACATACTTCGCCGCATACTGCCTGGGGGAACAACACATAATTTTCTAGGAAAGATGGCGTGGCAAGTACTCATGACTCACCCTAATACTTTAAGGAATAAAGCTTGCGCTTTGGAATACACAAAATTTGAGCTCTGAAACAATTAGAGGTTGGATTGCACCAGAAATTTTAGTGTACACAAAAACTCCGAGGTTTCTACTCTCCTTTAAAAACCGAGTTTTCTTTCTGAACATCCAACATTATATAGCATGGTGCTTGAAACTGCAGCTATATATGGTGCATAATCAAGTCAAATTTTCCATGGAAGATCTGCTTCTGGGAACAATTTTGTCCAAAGCGAGCGAGATTTCGGCGGACCAAAAATCATGGTCCCATATGTTACGTGCAATCCGCATTGTCGTCAATACGTTAGTATTCTGAATTGCACTTCCTCTACCACAATAACTTTGTTACCAAATTTATGGCGCGATTACTATTAACAATGATTCGAGCTTTAACTTGATTTAATTCCAGGGATTCTGTGGCAGTTATCATACTAACATTCGTCGTCGTTTCGTTAATTGGTGAGAAGGACCGAATTTTTCTTTTATCGTTTTTTTTCATTTTTTATCATATTCGTCCAAATCTTGTTCAATGCGCAACCGCTATGATGAATAAGAACGAAGATAGCATAATCAACACAGATAGGGAGGAATATGTGGTTATAATAGTAGGTATCATATAGAACCAGTTTCACGACGCCACTAACGCATGCATCGCTCGGGGATCTATAGAGCAATATTGAAGAGCAACCAAAATTTTAACTCCAGCCATGTCCTTCTCCGTACACAGTAGCGATCAAAAGTGTTTGCCTTAACGATTTTTAGAGCTTTATTTTTCTCGCTTGAGCAACGCCCTCCAAAGATTGATATACTATGTTCCCTAGAGTTTTTATATCTGCGAATCCTAAAGAATCAGGATAATGGAAGGAAATTTTTTCTGAAGTCACCATTGATTTTTTGGCAAAAAAAGGAAAGCGTTTCGGCGAACACTTCTGGCCGCTACTGTATATTTTGAGGGTTTGATCCCTGCTTCTCCATTGTTAGTCCCTATTCCTCTCTTGGTTTAATTGCAGAATTTTGCAAATTAGTTCTTTCCACTTCGGTGCACGCCCCACTAGTGGCAAACGAAATTTTGTTCTTCACGAACCTCTATCTACTATCTTACAGTCTCTGAGACTCTTTGGAACCAATTCGCAGTGCTTCATTATAAACGAACCTATGTGAGGACACGTTCTCCAGCTCATATTCTCTGCTCTGCAGACTTTTTCATAATACAGTCTTGAAATATTACTAGTACTTTTTGAAAATTTTCAGGTTACACATTAACGGTACCATGTCTGTGCTATGCCGTGCAAAAACACTCTGCTTCAGCGCTGGTACCGTACCTTGTTTGGAGAAAGTTGTTCTCTTTAATCGTACTAGGTGTTGTGATATGGCAGGTGAGGATACGAAATCGGAAAGACGGCTGTTGAATCGTTTGTGTCATTCACTTTTCCTAGGTTCCTTTCCGATTTCTCAATGTTTTGCATGAGTTGATAGCTCAATTTGAGCGCTCAACTTGAAAAAATTTATTTAAGGCGACGTTATCACCAAAGACACCAATGCTTTTCCGGTCTGCGTTCTATGATCGGCAATTTCCTGTGGCCGTGACCGAGGTATCCATGCTCAATTACTAAATATTCTGACTACAGCTCCTGATTTACTGGTTCTCTTACAATTAAGGTAGGATGGTCTTCCAGGATAAGGTCTCAGGTCCAAGGAGGCAAAATATACCTAATGGGAAAGCAAGCAAGCCCTTAAGAGTGTCGGACGATGGGACATCCTTCTCTGACACCTGGCCTCTCCATGTGATTCTTCACGCGTTGGCGAGATTCAGTGCGGACGGCCAAACAGAAAAGCAGGAATTAAAGAACACATACTACTTGGAAATGGCCGATAAAGACAGGTGCCTCACGAGAAATCAACTGAGAATCGAAGTACATTAGCACCAGCTACGAACAGTTATAGTTCACGATGAGTGGCATGTTTCTCCCAGTCTCTCCTACTGATGAACTTTGAGTCATATTGATTCAGTCGCATAGAAAAGGGTGATCAAGTCGTGAGCATTATTCTGCACCTCTAGGCAGATTACAATCAACGAGGACACTGTAGGCCATGAATTGCACCCGGATGCAACAGGGGGTTTTTTCAGACCCTTGGCTAAAGCCTGCGCCATTGCTCACCATCCAAATGACATACACTCAAGGATACTGCAGTATAGATGGAAACCATATGTGACCAACCATTTACTACCGAAATTTAGACATTGCTATCCGCGGAGGTCTTCTTCTGTGACCGCATAACAGAATCTTCCATAGCAGATCACTAGTCTAGATATGTCCTGAATTCACTGTGACGACAACACCCGACACGACTTGCGGCTATTTACAACTAGGCAGTTCAAGCAACGCCCGAGCTCCATGTTCAAAAAAATGTATCCTCCGTTTATTAAATGTGCAAAGCGTCCTTTTTGAAAATTACTCAATTATGAGAAGACAATCGTTATTAAGCACAGCGTGAACCAAATTCGGATTTTGGCAGCAGGTGTTCCCGCTCTGAAGGGTAATGAGTGGAACTTTTCAAACCACTCATAGTTGCCCCTTTTAGGGGAACCCCCAAAGTTACAAGGCCCACTCGTCACCTTTTGGAGCAAACAGGCTAAACCATGGCCTCACCTCTGCTGTGTAGCAGGATCATTACGTCGGACTATTGCCTCCACGGCACTTTGAAACAGCAGTTGCGAGAGAAAAGAGCATTGAAATGTCAAGCCACAATGTCGAGCTGCCGCCAAAGGTCGAGAAGCCGCCAGGAGGTTCCTTCTCGAGCTCTTCAACCCGCAGTTTCATTCTTTTTTTGGCGATATAGGGACATCTAATCATTCCGTGGGGGATGGTTGCATATGTATTACTGTTCATGACGGCGGTGACGTTTGATCAACCGTTCTTCAAACAGAACTTGTGTAAATGAAAGTGTCGATATTCGACGAAAAATTATGGAAGATCTCAAAAGTATAAATTTTGGCATAGAATCGTTTGGTGAGTGCTGAAGTGCTCTGCCAGCGCTTTGACGAGGGACAATCCGCCTGCTTTCCGTGTTTTGGAAGGATCTTTCGTCGGCTTTGATCTGTTTGACTGCATTTTCTACTTCTTTCCATATGACGGAAATCTGTTCTCCGGCAGCAGTTCGATATTTGCACCCACTGTGGAGGAGTACAAATCGTTGACCACTTCGTACAAATTTCGTTCATCCGTAGACGGAGTGCTGTTATAACACTTGCATCTTTCTTGAGAGCGGAGGTTATGTTGCCTGAGGCGGATATTCCTCTATACAGCTTTCAGGCTAGCACTTTTCTCTGCTGCATTGCGAACTTTCTTTTGTTTCTAGTCACTTACCAAGAAGCTCCTCCAGGCCGTGCACTTCTTTTTAGAAAGGTTTGTCGTGTGATGTAGGGGTACAAACATGAGACACAGAACTATGGTTGGCTTTCTGAGCGATTCTTTGAATGCCATCATATGGGTTCGAAGAGCTCAGAGGCACTTCTTTGCCTCCAGCTTTTAGCAAAAACTTATTCATGCTTTTGCTGGTGTTCTTGGTGGTGATATAGCATTCACTGCTAGCTAAGAGTACCATTCAGCGACACCAGTACAGCTGCCATCACGTGAAATCGAACCATGAATAAATATTCATCCGTTCTTTAGCGTTCGAGTACCGCTCAAGAAAAAGTGAGTGGTATCATATTCCATACATGATCCCTATAGAATGCAAAACACCGTTTTGAGAAAGGGGGGCACGGCCTGAAGGAACTCCCTGATTAGTCGGAAGGGGTCTCGCATAGTCAGAGCTACTCCCCGTTGTGACACCGTGTGAGCTCATTTCTATTGTAGATGATCTGTAACCTACACGAAGTGCTGAATTTTGACCAGAGATTTTTTGGGCCTATACAGTATATAAGTGTACATTTTCTTTGTAAGTCACTCATGTCTTCCAATGGAATATTCTGCTACTGCCCAACTTGCGAAGGACACAACATGCTCCCAAGAAGCTATCCACAGTGCTATTGACAACACACAACTTTTATTTTCCTTCTTTTCATTATATGATCAGCAAATAGATAATAAAAGGGAAGGAAAATATTGGAAATGTAGAAAGCAAAGGCTTCCTACCGTTCTAATTTTATTATCGCCTTGCGATACTTGGCCCGATTATTAGTCGATTATTAGTCTTCACTTCTTGAAGCTATTTTTCAACTCGCCTGATTCTGTCTTTGGAGTATGGAATTGTGCACAGTGCTCGATGATGACCTTGGTTTCCCTCCGGAATTCCCAAAACAGTCCCACTCACGACTTCGCAGCTCTAATACACGTCTAGAAGGGCCTCTCTCCGATCCAACTCCAATAGGTCGTCTCGCAAGCGTTCCAATCCGAATTCTATTCATTTCTGCTAATATTCCAATCGTGTAGTGCAGCACCCGTACCCTTGCAGGACCGCCAATGGATCGTAAAGTTTCTTGTCGTCGTTTCTGACATCAGATTCCATAGCTTCTTTGGAGATTTCACTAGCTTCATCTCTAGCTTAGGATTCCCCTTCCTTGGGATTATCGCTCGTTGTGTCTGCGACAAGTTTGTCCAGGTAATTGTCGTCCAAAAGAGAGTTATGAGGATGCTTAGCTGCAACTTCTGGTTCAAGCTATTCTTTGAGTTCACGTTTCTTGTGTAATACGTTATTGCCGGAAAAACTTATTTCTAAAACGATTCTATCCGGTCTTCGGCAGTCGCCGCTCAGTGATGTAGACAACTTGCGCAGTGGAAGCAATGTTTTCTACTTGCGCACATCGTGAGGCATTGTGACGCGGTAAGGCGTCCCACCCAAGTCATCCTTTTTCTTGCGCTTGTGCGTCTTAATCCTTAGATCTTTGTACTAATTCTATAGGTCATACACTAGCATATGTAAAAACCACATGGCTCACAGAAAGGCCAATTATCTTTTAGTTTGGCAGAGATTTTTCAGACCTTACGGATATGTCTGTTCAGTTCATTCCTCGTGTTCTTTTCAATAAGGTAGACATGATGATAAAAAGGAATAACAGAAGTGAATACTCACGTATTCGTATAGGACGATATGTGTTTTGACTGAAGCAATCACGTCCAAATTATTTTGGAACCATTAAATTGAAAGCAGGTAAAATTTCCCTTTCATGGCCTTAACACGTCATTTCGGTCAAACTTTCATTACTGTAACTCCCGAAAAGCTAGACAGATCGAACATTATTGAAAATACATCATCGCATCTAACTATTGCGTATTTACAACTTAAAGTTCATGGATTTGGTGCGCGGCGGCTACGCTCGCAAAATTGCTCTTGTCCCTCCTGCGGTGCAAAAGCACAAATGTCGCTATTAACACGTTGACGCGATGTCGTCAACGTGTTAATAGCGACACTACGTTTGTCCACCCATGTCACAGCTATCGACATCAAATCCCTTAAATTCGCATCATCAGCCCTTCCTTCTTCCAAACATTTTTGCTCCTCTGTAGTCCAACTATTGAGTCGTGGATTTTGTCAAAAATGGTAAGCCGCTGGTGACCCATAACAGCTTCCCTCCTAAAACCTCACCTATTAGCTCGCCTCCACTATCCGTCGAGCCTGTCGTTCTTGTAAATAACTCCATCTATTTCCCTTCAATCTTGTCGCCTTGAGATTGAAGACGTGAAATTTTTTCAACGTTCTCTTGATTTATTTTGTCTTTTTCTTCTTCTTCCTAGAGTTAGTCCCGAGCAGTAGCAGGGTCCGCTGTTTTTGTCAGTCGTCGCAACTTTGCTCTGTCCAGGGTATCTTCTATTGTGGCTGTGACCTCACCTAGGTCCTTCTTGATTACGTCTTTTCCACTTTTCTTCGGGACTCTCGCGATTGCTTGCCTTGTACTTCGAAGTCCATTGTTGTTCTTATTGGATTGTCCTGTGGCCTCCTGGCTCTGCACCCTATTTGGAGTTCAGGAACTTGGTCGACTTTGGTCTTCTTGACTTCAGCCGTAGCCCACCTTCCGCCATAACCTTCTGCCATTTCTGCACCTTGGCTTGAAGTTCCTCTCTACTATCCGCTATCAAGGCGACGTCGTCAGCGTAGAGGATGGTCTTCAATAGTTCCTCCATGACCCCCTCACCAGGCCATCTAATGTTAGGAGGATGAGCAACGGGCTCTGAGCTGACCTTTGGTACACCCCGACCGTGATGTCCACCTCCTTCGTTAGGCCCATGGGGTACGTATGGCTGCCTTAGCCCCATCGTACATGTCCTTAACCAGAGGAATGAGACATTCTGACACCTTCCATTCCCTGAGTGATCTTCAATAGTACTACTCGTGGTAGCCGGTCGAACGCCTTTTCCAGGTCGAGGAAGGCTAGGTAGCAAGGCCTGCGCTTTTCGCGATACTTCTCTATGAATTGCCTAGCGATTGAGATGGCATCCGTTATAGACCTTTCGGGAATGAACCCGAACTGTTCCCGGGAAATCTGGACGAGGTCCAGCAGTTCCGCGTCGACCAGGCGCTCGTACAACTTCATGGTATGCGCTGTCAACTTGATGCCGCGATAGTTGGAGCAGTCCATTCCGTCATTTGCTTGAAGATGGGGACGATAGTA